TTTTCTTACTATTATTATTGTTTTTCAAATTAATTTTTAAATAAAGTTCTACCGCATTTACGCTCGTTCACTCGACGTTTCAAAATTTTAAATAAAACAATAATAATAGTAAGAAAACCACTGACATTTAAACGTCAAAAATATTTCTGACAAAGATTGCTAAGCCTGCTAAGATTTTTTCTATAAATTCATTCCAACTTTCGATTAACAACGCTACAGCTTAACAGTTAGTGTTTGCTTAATTAATTTTTTTCTCAGAAATTATTAACTTTTCGAAGAACATCAGAGAGGCAAAAAAGTTTCAGAATATTTTCGTCTATCTAAATAAAATATTTCCAATGTGTTTATCATCGTCATAAAAAAGATCTAGACAAAAATTGAACGGGGGTGGTTATGTTTAGTAACTTAGAAGGAAGGATTGAAAGTACAAAAAGGCTCGATCATGCCCTATTATAAGCTAAACATATTTCCCAAATTTCATTTTCTTGGTAAAAATAAACCAAAATTTTTCTACGTGCCCTACTACCAGTTAAACATATTCCCCAAATTTCGTTAGCGTTTATGGTTTTTGAGAAAAAAAAAATAAACCAAAATTTTTCGCCATTTTTGAAGGGGTGTAGCTCCGCAGGGGAGTCGAAATCGCCGATAGTTTATATGAGAAAGTACCCTTAAAATTGCCTAAAGAATCACCCCCTGAAGTTTGGGCAAGTCATTCAGATACACCCTGTATAATTAACTGCGGTAGCAAAACGGAAAATAATTTAACTTAATTTTTGATATAAATTCACTTATCATAAAATAATTGAGAGAAACTAAAGTAGTAATCGATTTATGTTATACTAGAGAAGACACCTCAACTCTCACTAAAGTTGCGCGCGCAACCTAAATTCCTAAAAACCTCAACTAAACTATCGACTGTGTGTGCGCTTCAATATGAAGCTGTGGCATTATTGCAGTTGTACGATAGTTGCACAACTTTTTAATCATAAGTGCACATCGACTCCTTTTGATTAAAAAATCGAGTTGATCTGCAGTTGTATTGTGTGCACACCTACATTAAAGTTAATACATTTATGTCCATCGACTAAACTATCGGCCGACTAAAAATCGACCGTGTGTGCCTACCCTAAAGATGTACTAAGAGTAATATTACACTACATAAATTAGTTTTAAATTACAGTATAATGGAGATTGTAATTTTGACAACTGTTGTTTAAGTTCCCTTATGTGACATTTAAGTTGTGTCATGTCATCATATATAAAATTTATAGAAATTATGGCCCACAATTTCTCTAACGAAAAACTTATGGACGTGGTACGGGCACACGGAGAATCACGGCTAAATTCTGTGCTTACAGCTCGTCTCTATGCAGAAAGGTTTCCAGATAGATATCATCTGGCACGCAAATCCTTTTTATGTGTGGTGCAACATGGAGGAGAAGTCGAAGAACTGGTTCTAGTGTTGTTCTAGTGTGCTACATAGGCTTACACTAGAATACTTGCAGAGTAACATGGGGTATCACAACTACAATTTGGCATATATTGAGGCACGACCAACTCCATCCATATCACGTGTAACGTGTACAAGCCCTACTACCAGTGGATAATCCCCCTCGAGTACAATTTTGTGTTCCTACATCAACATCAGTTGAACCCAAACTTTACCAATAACGTTTTAGTTACGGATTAGACGATTTTCACACGTAACGTTATTCACAATGTCATTGGAGAATCCTCAAGTTACTCGCCGAACACATTTTCAAATATTTTCTGTAAATTGCGAATTGGTGCTTATTATTGTGGGAACTGGTTGTGGCAAGGACAGGTGGTGGGGATGGAAGTTGGAACGACATGCACCGACATGCACATTAGAAGTTGAGAAGCAGATGTGAGAAGACGACACGCAGAGAAGATTAGTTATAGTAATAATAAGTGTAATAAACTCTTTAAAGTGGAAATAATAGTAATAATAAACTAGTTAAGGACAAGTGGGGCTTTTGTTTTGCTTTCTATTTAAATAAAACCCTACATTATTTACCATTTTTATGTAATAATGTTGCTCTTGATGACTATGTGGTTTCTCCAAGATGGTGCTTCACCACATGTTCTAGATAATGTGTTTCCCGGAAGATGAATAGGTCGTGATAGGCCACCTCGACCTTAATTCTCTTCATTTTTATTTTTGGGGCGACTTAAACAACAAAGTTAATACGTCACCGAAGTTAATACTGAGCAAAAATTACGAAATCAGATATTGTTGCTGCCAAGACAATCCGCAAACACCCTGGTTTAAGCTGCGCTAGTGGGAGATCGTGGATTCGTCACCCAATTGTGTATAGAAAATACGGGAAATAACTTCAAATACTTGTTATGACCTTATTTTAACATGTTCTATGTATTCTTGGTTTGGAAACAAATTTCACGAATATCTAGGAAACTAACAAAGAATTCTACTTTTAGTTTAATAAAAATCTACAACAATCTAGCGCTGAATTACAATTAAAACTAGAACTAACACTAGACTTAGAACTAGAAAGTTTTAGTTCAATAAAAGTGTGCAACATAATGATATCTAGTGCTAACTAGCGCTACGCATTACTGTGATTAGAACTAACACTAGAACTAGAAATATTCAGATAAGAGACGCACGGCTAAACCCGAATGTTTCTAGTTCTAGGTCTAGTGTTGTGTTAGTTCTATAAGTTTTACTGTATAAGCTATTTTAGTAACGAATAGAAGCGATTGCGACAATATTCCTCTTTAACTACAGATAATCTTTATTGAATACCATGGTTTTAATCTCCACTGCAACTAAGCTATTATTATGTAAATTTGAATTGTTTCCCTCCATTTGTTATCGATAGGAAGAGTATTACCGTTATTATAAAAACTTCAATTAAAAACTCAATTATCTATTATAACTAAAAAAAAAACAATAAAATCACCTAAAAACTATTAAATTTAGTAATAATAAAAATCATCTTGATACATAGGTATAATATTTGAAACCTGATCTGTTTGCGTAATTTACATGGAAGTTCAATTTCGCTTATCGTGGTGTATCTTAGAATATTAAGTCAACAAATGTGGGATCGAATTACTTTATTTGAAATCAGAAGTTTTTGTTGCAGTTTTGATAATAAAAATGCATAAATAGGAATATGTAAGTTAGTAAATCTGCCTTGGCCAATTATTTGCCAACAATTTTTATCGTAAAAAAGAAATATGCTAGATATCAACTTGATAAATGTGAATTTTAGGAGAATCCGACATCTTACTTTAACCGAAAAGACTTTTAAGAAAATCAAGGGTTTTTCTCTTGGGACTAAACGCAATTTCAACGAATAAGAGGCACATCCATTAAGTACATAAGAAAAATAAATTTACTAAAAGTTTATTTTCACCTCAAAAAAAAAATTATATTTAAAAAATTTTACGTGGTGGGATTTTTTACCAAAATTTTCTCATTCCAATCCACACCGGATACATTGAAGTGTATACAACGTCAAACCCAATTANTCGTGTAATTAGTTTTCTAGGTTATATATTTATCGAAGAAAACATATTAGTATAACAAAAGTTTTGTACTTTGAGAATATAATTAAATAATGAAAATAATGTTAAGTTTAGAGGTAACGGAGTTGAGAAGTGGTAACGGAGTTGACAAATAATAATTTAATTCCAAGTTTTGTTCCTAACATCTCAACTTATTGCGTACTAAACTCAATGGCATATCATCATCCAATGATGATGAATCTGTATATACAACGCTATAACGTAGAGCTGTTCTATACTCCATATATCCAAGTTATAGTGTGAGCAAAGCTGGCGGGGTTCACAACACAGACATGTCAGTTCTCTGAAAGTAAGTCTATTCCTTAGTTTATTGATCCAAGCTACTTTCATCGTACCTTTAAACGTACCAATATTTTCTGGGATCAGTTCGTCGATAATAGGGATTAGTTTTTCATCGATACGAAAGAACTTGATCCCTTTTATTGAGTTTTGTAAGACTTTTACTAAAGTATCGTAATCTGGTGTGGATACTTTTAATATACAACTAAGGTACGAAAAGTGTGGTAAGGTTGCTTGACAGACTTAACCACGCCGCAATTATATCTAAGATATCTGATGCTTTAAAGAACCAAAGTGTGCAGATTGTACTTTTTCAGTATATTTACAGAAGTAATTTTTAGAAAAATCCATATGGATCAAAATTTCATCAACAGACAGATTCTTTTTCACTACATTTATAGACCGATACTGATGGAATATATTCCTGAGGTGCAACATATATGTATCTCGGAATAGATTGTATCAATTCTGTAACTACTTGGTGTTTTTCTAGCTGCCTTTTTTGCTTGGTAAGTTTCTTACTATG